TCGATTTTTTTAATCCTCTATTTCATTAAACTTTGGTTAGTTTGATATGTTAGTCTGCTCAGCAGGTCTATACGGTGATGTTGAAAACGAGATAAAGTTATATATCATAAATCAATGAATATTTGATAATAAGGGAATAACAGTGTGAGGAGCCGGTCTTCACTGCGTGATAATGACCGGGTTTGGGGGTGACCGCTGTTAATGGACTGAGACGAAGTTTCCAACGGTGGTCGGCCGACCACCGTTGGAAATGTATACAAAAGTACAATTTTTCTTGAAAATGACTTCAAAGCAGGTGCCATAATTTTACAGGATGCTTTAGACTGCCATATTTACCAACATCCTAGTAAGGTATTTCGTAACAACTTGGTAGTTTTATTTTTCGATGTTTGCAAACAATTAATGTTGTATTTTCCCTCTAAATTTTGTCCGGAAAAGATAATCTCAATTTTGAAAAAGCAGGCATAGGCCCTATGAAATTTGTGCGTGACGATGCAGTATTTCGATTATCTCTCAAAAATAGTTGCTGGCGGAGGGGGCGGGTGTTGGATGTGTTGCAGAGTGGCAAATTAAGAGCGAGCCAGGCGGGGACGCGTGACGTGACAGAACAAATCGGGCCGGCGACATCGAAAAAGCCTTGTCATGGCAGTCGGCAGGCATGAAGAGCGCATCTTCGTACAGGTTCAGGGCATGTGGTCCACTCGGGGGATCACGGCTTAGGGTGCCGCCTTGTTCCTCCCTTAGCTCTTTGCTGTGACCCATCCGATCCCTGAATGCTTGGCTAGCACTTTTCGATTTGTTTTATCCTCTATTTTTCAAAACTTTGGTTAGTTTGATATATACATCTGCTCGGCAGGCCTATACGGTGATATGAAAAACGAGACAAAGGTCTATATGTCATAAATCAATGAATATTTGATAATTGACTATAATCAAAATGAAGGAGACTTAGCTCCGTGACACCCAGACTAGATCTGGGTCTGGATCTAGGAGTGTTTTGGATGGATTCTTCACCATTTTATGCGAGTATTTCTTTTGAGTGTACTGACAATATGGCGGGGAATTGTTTAGCCTTGGCGGAGGTTTGCACTCTCCTAGTACATTATAGTTTTACTGATGTTCGTTTGGGGAAGGGCCTCCAGATAGTGTCGGCGGTGATGACAAGTTTTTTTCCCTTCTTATGTCAAGAGCCTATAAATTAGTCTGAAGATCAGACATTCACCTTGGCAGAGAGCAACAGTTGAACGTCTGAAACATCGTAGCGGAGTCTATCCGATGTTCCCCAATACCTATGTTCTCCAATACTGATGTTCCCCGAAATCCTTAGGATTAGGGTTAGGGTCGGGTAAGGATTTGGGAACATCGGTATTGGGAACATAGCTATGCACCCATCGTATCCGATGTTCCCCAATACCTATGCTCTCCTATACCGATGTTCCCCGAAATCGGAGTGGTCCTGAGAGACTGTGACGTCATATGGACCACGAATATAGACTAAGCTGTGGCTTGGTCAATTTGGATGCCACTTTTTTTTTTTTAATACGGCAGATTACGAAGGACCCGAAGACCCGAGATCAAGACGCAGTCTTGTTTTGTTAGTCGCCGAATCTGACTTGCAAGTCAAAGGAATAATCAATAGTCTATCAAAAATCAGGATCGGTCAGAAATGAGAACCGAATAAGGGATGCCTGAGACCAAGAAATGTACACATGGAATGATATGTGTCATTTGGGATTCAAGGGAACCATCATTTATTTTATAAGCCAAGTTTACTTCTGTTTATTTCCGAAAAATTATGGAAAATTGATATTGTGTTATGATATTACATATATATCAGTATGAAGCACATTTAAGGATTTTTTAAAGGAGTTTTAGGCAAATTAATCAGTCCAATTCACATATTTATGAGCAAAAGTGTGATGTCATTTCAGGCTGAAACCTCTGTTATAGCTATTTCAGAACCAAAAGTTGCACAAATTTTGAAATTTTCATAAATTTTCTTTTCTTTGTTTCAGTACAAGGCAGTAAGCCAATGAGCACACTTTTCCCACAAACGTTTTCACTTTACAACAGAAAACTCCTACGCTGAACATTGTCTTCCTGAAATGACAACACATCAACACATCAACAGCGCCCTCAGTCGAAAAGAATGGAAAATTGTTTAAAGAAGAACACTTTTCAATAAAATTAACCAAAAAGGGAGGTCAAATAGTTTTCTTACATTCTAAGAGGAGTTGAAAGTTGCAAATAAATTATGTTCCCAACTAAAGATTCAAAATGACAATGCTATCCACTCTAGCTCTTCAAAATATCCTTCATTTTTCGCCCTGAATAACATGCGCATTGAATGGAAGAAAACTTGATGATAATGACTACACTTCCACTCAGCAGACTCTATTTAAAGGGAATATACATCATTTGCTTTTGCTGTAATTTTCAGAAATGGATGGAATTGGGGGGTTGGAAATATATAGCAAATATAGTTACACTGACTTTTTTGAGGTTTTGGGTTCGAAAATGCTATAAAACCAAAAAAAACCCGATCATTTTCCTGTAGTCTGGTTCCCTGACTCCATATAAGAAGAAACAGAGCAGTTTACATACATTGGGGAATTGTAAGGTCAGGGAACCAGTCTAGCTAGCTCGTACCCGTTCATAGGTTTTTAATTGATTGCAAACAAGTGCGATGGTCAATTGGGGCCAGTATTTGAAAAAAAAGCCAGTTGTTTCCAACGCTGATCGGCTGATCAGCGTTGGAAATTGATACAAAAATACCACTTTTCTTGAAAATGACAGTTTACCAGGTGCCATGATTTTACAGGATGCTTTACACTGTCATTCACTAACAGTCCAGCAAGGTATTTCCAAATGATTTGGAAGTTTTATTTGTTGATGTTTGCAAATGTTGTATTTTCCCTTTAAAAAGACATTCATAAATACCCAAGACAGTTTACAAATTCCTATTGGTCAAGAGTCTGTTTTAAACGGATGATAAAGACCGGCCAGCTAGTCTTGAAAATTTTTTCCAGCATCACATGAAATTCGGACTCCTATGAAATCCAGTGCATTTTAACCGTTTTATTGGTTGAACGTTCACAATCCTAATGTGAGTCAGTACCTCATAGTCCTAAATTCACAATAAATCGGCGCAGCTGCATTCTGCGCCAAATCGGGCGAAAATCTCCGTATAAGGAGTTGTTTACGACTACTCGCGAGAGGGACCATAATATAGCTTGAGGGGTGTTTCGAAAAAACTTGAAGTAAAATTGTCGAACAAAATCGCTAGAAAATTTATAATTTTTGACTAATTTTGACTTTTTGACCGTAAAGGTTTAAATGGATGGGAATGTGCTTGGCCAGTATTAAACAAGTCCGTTTATTAGACCAGGTGGGGGTCTGGTCGCCAACAATATCCCCCTCGCCTTCGGCTCGGGCTATAATCAGTGTCCATTCCTCCAGCCAGTCTTAAACGGACTTGTTTAAAACTGGCCAAGCATATTTATTCCCTTAAAGGGAAAATACAACATTTGCAAATATCAAAAAATAAAACTACCAAATCATTTTGAAATACCTTGCTGGACTGTTAGTGAATGACAGTGTAAAGTATCCTATAAAATCATGGCACCTGGTATACTGTCATTTTCAAGAAAAGTGGTATTTTTGTATCAATTTCCAACGCTGATCGGCCGATCAGCGTTGGAAACAACTGGTTTGTTTTCCAAATACTGGCCCCAATTGACCATCGCACTTGTTTGCAATCGATTACAAACCTATGAACGGGTACGAGCCAGCTAGACTGGCTCCCTGACCTTACAATTCCCCAATGTATGTAAACTGCTCTGTTTCTTCTTATATGGAGTCAGGGAACCAGACTACAGGAAAATGATTGTTTATCTTGGTTTTTATAGCATTTTTCGAACCCAAAACCTCAAAAAAGTCAGTGTAACTATATTTGGTATATATTTCCAACCCCCCAATTCCATCCATTTCTGAAAATTACAGCAAAAGCAAATGATGTATATTCCCTTTAATAGACAGTAGCTCTGGCAATTTAAAGGGTATGTACAACATTTGCTTTTACTGCAATTTTCAGAGATAAATGGACTTGGGGGATAAGTATGTTATAGCAAATAATGTAAAATTGATTGTTTCGCGTTTTGGGCTTGTTATTGCTGGAGGAACCAAGAAAACCAATCATGTTCTGGTAGTCTGGTTCCCCGACCACACTTAAGATGAAACAGAGCAATTTATAGACTTTGGGGAATTGTTAGGCCAGAGAACCAGTCTAGCAGGTGTACCCCTTCACAGGTGTGTAATCAATTGCAAAGACAATGCGCAATAGCCAAATATGAAAAGTAGGAGCAGTTTTTGAGAAAAAAAAAGCCAGTTTTCCCCCCGACATTGGTCGGCAAACCAGCGCTGGAAAAATACAATTTTTCTTGAAAATGTCAGCAGGAGCTACGATTTTAGAGGATGCTTTAGACTGTCATTCCTTAATAGAAACAATCCAGTACGGTATTTCGTTATAATTTGATCGTTTCGTTTTTTTGATGTTTGCAAATGTTGTATCGTCCCTTTAACCCTAACAACCCTGAGCCCATCAAGCTCCAACAGCGGGTTTTGCTTGATTTTGGCAGGGTTGGTACCGAACACTGGCCAGCTGGTGTTGGACTTTGATTGACTGGGTACCAAAGGCCCAGGGAGACCCTGTTGAATTTTGTGAGGTTCGGGGCAGAAGGGCATGAGATTTGTGAACACGTTGGAGTTCACTGGCATTTCTTCGTGGGTATGCTCACCCACGGTCCTCAGCACAGCTTGTGGTCAAATGTGCATGTACATATTGCTTTATTTTGTTAGGTTTGGTACCATCCCTATCCAATCACTCGACAATGCATAGGCCCATCCATACCAAGTCAATCATACTCCAACAGTTGGAGTTTGGCAGGTTTAGTACTGTTCCCCGTACAAGGCCTGTTGGAGTTTGGCAGTTTTGGTACCAGTGCTTACAGACCTGTATGCAGCTGTTGAAATTTGTTAGGTTTGGTATACTTTCTAGTGCAAGAGCCTAGGGGGTTAGGGTTAAGGGACCCATCTCGTTTGGTTGGGTCAGAAACATTTCCGAAGGAGCACGCCAGCTACCTACTCGTCGTGGTGACCGTACACCCTCCGCAGTTTCTCCCGCTTGTTGCGGTTGCCGTGCTTCTTCCAGGGCTTGTCCGCCAAGCGCTGCTGGCTGGCCGACAGCTGCTGCGGGGATGACTCTTGGCCTCTGACCCCGCTGGTGCCGCCCCTGGGGCCGATGGCTCCCTTGGTGTGCGACGCTACGGTCTTCTGTGCAAAGAAGGCCTCGTCTATCTTGCTTGACGTGGGTTGCTTCTTCAGCTGTTCAATTAAAAGAAGAAAAAAATTAATAGGGAAATAATCTACTAAATTATGGCTTTGTCAAACAAGCACTATTTTATCAAGGGAAGGGGCAACCTCGTCCCCAGTGCTTACTTTATTTCCAACCGCGTTTCCAATAGTAAACCCTGGATAGGAAACTTTCTTCCTGTATCCTGATTGGATATCGCAATTGGCTAGTAATGGATTTTTATGGTGTACTTGGTGCTATTATTCACAACGTGCAGTACGTGTTTTCGCGATCATGCGTCCACGCCTTCTCGAAAATACTAATTTCCTTTCCAATTTGCTCATATTTTTATGTAATATGATACTGCATGTTGTCTCTAAGATCGTAACAGTCTGATTTCAAAAATCGTGTTTTCGTAACTCACGCCGTGCACGCGCTGCTACGAATTGACTCTGTTTTTACCCCAGACACTGCATACAAAAGCAAACGCTAATGTGTAACGCATATCCAGGCACCAGACTGTTCCTCATTTGCATACGTGTTCAAAAATCTTGCACATGCAAATGATCCAATACCAGGGTGAGAGAGCAGGTAGTGGTGGGCGCGTACTGCTCGACACCCTGGGGACGAGGTTGGGGAAGGGGTGCCTCGAATTGTCTATTTTTTATTACTTGTTTTGACTTTTGGACCGAAAACTTTTGATTTTTTGACCGAAAAAGGTATTTCTCAATGGGAATGTGCTTGGGAGGTTTTAAACATTATGTTTAAAACCGGTTGGAGTCTTCGCTCGTACACCCGCCCTGAAAACAGGACGCTGGGATACTCTGATGAATTCACGCTCTGATTGGTTGGATTTTGCGTGACCTGTGACCATTGCGTCATCACGATCATGACTCTGCAAGGTTTGAAACGGCCGTTAATACTGATTCATTACTCTTTTATTCCAGTTTAGAGATTTTTTTTTTTTCATTGAAAATCTTAACAATGTAGGAAATTCTGTAAAACTTATCTGTGTTGTAAATTTACAATTCCCGTCACTTGCTCAGGCTCTGTGTCGAATCACGAACGGACGGATTGCATTATGCGACACTCAAAACTTTGTCCACACTGTCCGCAATGAAACAGAAATCACATCCGGTATGGAACGTGTGAATTTCTATTGGAAGTTTTCAGATAGCATTTGCGCACATTGTCTAACTGCGGTCTTGAACAGCTGCAGCCAGATGCTTTATACATAGGTCATAGGTCACTTCCTTCACAAGATTCTGTGAAGTTCATCAGAGTATCCCAGCACCCTGTTTGCAGGGGGGGGGGGGGGGTACGAACGAAGTTGGAGTCTGGAATGCTGATAATTACCCTCGGCTTGGCCTCGGGTAATCATCAGCATTCCTGACTCCAACCAGTCTTATACATAGTGTTTAAAACCTCCCAAGCACACATTTATTCCCTTATTTAACCCTTTCAATACCACATTGTTTATTGACTTGGCTCTCCCCAGGACCAAATTGTTTGCTCAGTCATGCGGAAATCACTAGAGCATGAAAGAAATGACCACAAGTCCAAAACTCGCTTTTTTCAACCCAGATTTTCACTGCCAAGGAGTGATTTAAATCATAGGTGTTGTGTGTAAAGTTTGTTCCTTGAACCTTACTCTTTTATGTGATGTAAAAATGAAGTCCATATGTGTAAAGATAAGAAAGTTATGCCTGTTTGTTCATCTGGTTCCATTTATCAAACTGCAAGCCATTTCACATGACCAAATGGCACTCCATACCTCAATTTGTGTGTGGATACTTCTGAAGCACTTTTCTCATTTTTTTGTAATAGCAACACTATGAATAAACTACACCATTAGAACGATCCGAAAACGCTCTTTCAGCTGGTATATGGTTGTTGTATGGACGGCCAAACACATCAACATGCCGCCTTTCTGAAAAGTAGTAAATAATCTGTGTTGAGGGTGTTCTGTGTGTGGTTTCCTGGTCGACTAAAGTCGCCCATGGTAAAGAAAGGGTTAAGACCGGCCACGTGACGGGCTCTCGACCAATGGGAATGGGAAAACTGTCGTGGGTATTTATGAATGAAGTTTACACGGCAACTGTTACCCTACGTACTTTGGTTCCTTCGTCGGTGATGACAGGCCCCGAGGCTTCCCGCTGCTTCCTCGCCGTGTCGCCACCACCGCGACTCACATCCATCTGGGAGAAGTCCTGAAACTCGACGGGATCGATCCCTGGTGGGGGGTGGCTGTACAGCAGTTTGCCCTGTGACGTGAGAAAAATATAACCAAACTCCTTGTAATGAAGACGAGGTCCAGTCAACCAATACCCAAATATCAACTGCTTCCAACTATGTACATGTGGTATAAACGAGCTACCCAAGGTGATCTGCGGAATGTTCTATTTTTTGTTTTCTGAGACAAAGGCAAGGGGCAATAGAAGACTATTCAACCACCTACAGCAGTCACTATTTGTTTATTATGTCACATCTCTCGCTGGTTCTCCATCCTGGTTGGCTAAAACACGGTCATGTGTTGTTCACTAATATAGGCTAGTGCATGAAATTCGCGTCAGCGTGAACTACACACGCGTCAAGACATCGCGCGCGTAATTTCCGGAATATAGTGCCCGATATGGCACTATACTTAACATTTTTTGACAATTATTTTTTGCTTAAAGGGAATGTACATCATTGGCTTTCGCTTTAATTTTTAGAAATGAACTATTTGAGGGGTTAGTATAATATGATCAAATATTGTTACACTGACATGTTTGAAGTTTTGTGTTCGAAAATGCTGGAAAACCAAGAAAAACAAAAAGGTTCAAGTAGTCGGGTTCCCTGACTCAATTAAAATTGAAATGGATCAATTTATAGATGCCGAAAAATTGTGAGGTAAGGGAACCAGTCTAGCTGGCCTGCACCCGTTCATGAACATGTAACCAATAGCAAACACAATTTGGACTGAAACAAATGGTAAATTTGGAGCAGTTGAAAAAATAGTAAGGGTTTTCCAACGGTGGTCGGCCGACCACCGTTGGAAATGAATACAAAAATACCATTTTCTTGAAAATGACTTCACACCAGGTGCCATAATTTTACAGGATGTTTAAGAGTGTCATTTACCAACATCCTAGTTAGGTATTTCGTAAAAACTTGGTAGTTTTATTTTTCGATGTTTGCAAATGTTGTATTTTCCCTTTAACAATAAAAACCTTCCCTATAACGCGGTGACACCCAATCAACACCTGTATGCTTGTTCTCACAGACATCTGATTGCCATGTCAGCCGCTATGCATATATCACTATTCAGAGCAAGGCTGCTGTTGTATTGTCAGTTTGGGCACCCACAATTATGGCCAAGTTCGCGCAAGGACTATAGTTGACCAATGGTTAACTGACGTTTGCCCGAACTCTGTCTAGTCGACGGTGGTTGACTACGCTAGTCGACTATTTGGAACCAGCCTACTGGGGTTGGTTGCTTCGCTGGTAACCAATAGCCGCGCGCATTCATAACGCTAGCAGAGAACCAGGATCCAGAAGTTTTGCGATGACATTTTGACCAGCGTTTGACTAGAGATGTTCGCACTTTGCTATTAGTGTGCAGGCGTAAGGTACGTCACAAATCAACCACTAGTCGACTAATGGTCCTTGCCCGAACTTGGCCAAGGATTTAAAAAAAAGGGAATATTATATGATACGCTATCGGCCATTCAAGACACAAAATCTGTGGGTGAGGTGCTATATCATAAGCTATTTCCATGTAGGATACAGCAGCAGATAAAACATTCATTTATTTCCATGAAACTTTTTGTTATTATAAGATGGAATTTTGCGTCGGGGTGATATAATTTAAATTAGGTTTTGCCCTTCACCGATGTTTAAACACTGTATACTCAGTGTGTTACCTCCCAAGTGAAAGTTGGAAAAAATCACTCGGGTGGGACTCGAACCCACGACCTCCTGCTTTCTAGTGCAGATGTCTTACAACTCGACCACCGAGCTAACGGGATCGGTTGGCCGGTTCGAATCTGATGTACATAGCAGCGGGTACTGCATAAACTATTATAAGATGGAATTTTGTGACGGGGTGATATAATTTAGGTCGTGGGTTCGAGTCCCACCCGAGTGATTTTTTCCAACTTTCACTTGGGAGGTAACACACTGAGTATACAGTGTTTAAACGTCGGTGAAGGGCAAAACCTAATTCAAACTTGTTGTTGTTTGTTATGTGGTCCCTTCATTACTCCAGACTCAATGACCATTTGCTGCCTAAAACTCTTCAACAACAATAAAAGCTGAAGAATTTGTTCACCTTCACGTAGTCTTTCAGGACGACTCTTGCTGCTCTAGGGCAGTCTGGGATACCATGGTGGGTCATGAAGCCTCGCATATCTGTACAGAATAAAATCAAAATAATGTAGACAAATTAATAATGCATTGAGATGGGGAAGTCTAACAGGTAAAAACATATCCAAATAAACATATCCAAATAAAACTGTAAAGTCTGGCCTATTAACTTCGTCAAAACTTTGACACAAATTGATACAGGTTTGCTTTCTGAATTTAATGATTTCTTACTGTCCTTTCATCTTTGCCGTTGCCCCACAAATTTTGAGTCGCCAGCCGGGCTACTTAAGGAAAAGTATTACTAACCCGCCGCTGTTTTGACTAGCATTTGGCTAGCAGGCTACCGCTAAAGTCAAACCCCGACTGCTATTGAACCTAGAAGCGCTCTGTAATAAAAACATCAAGTGCCCACAAAATACTACAGAAGGTAACACATTTGTGAGAGTTTGTGACTTTTGCTTAGTGTATCAATTTGTAGCCTTTCGTCAAAGCCATTGTGGCTTAACTTGCCGGCATTAGACAAAGCGGCGAATACGGCAAATCGACTGGAGCGGGAGACCACACATATGAGTGGTGAAGCAACGAGGCATTTTACAACTTGTCAAGAATTTCTTATGTTTTTCTTTATAATCTCAATTTAGCAAAATTCCAACCAATCATCAGCCTTTTAGTGCGTGCGTGGCTACTACCCGGACGCGTCGAGGCGCCCGGATGCTTGCACAAAATTTAAAAACAAAAAATGCGAGTCTAGTTTTCCACAAGACCGTGACCGCGTAATTGTTCTTACATTATCTTATTTTAATTGTACTTATAAAAGTATTTCAAGAAATTATTTGAGTGTATGAACTTATTTTTTATCTCAAACTTACAGTTACTTGCTCCAACGTTTTCCTTACTCACCCTTCTTTCACAAATGGAAGCAACTGGGCAAAATCCGCGTTGTGATTGGTTAACCTTTCAGCACTCTTCTTATTTGCATAAAAATATGAATAATTCAACAAAATCAAGTTGAAAAAGGCTTTGTGGCTTCGCCACTCGTGCGTGCTAGCTGACTTAATCTTTGCTCCAGTCGCTTTGTGTTTTTTCGCAGCTCCGCCGCTCTAAGCCACGATGGCCTTGGCGAAAGGCTAATCGATTTGCTAAGCGGCAATGATGATTTGTGCTTACAGGCGTAGGCATTTAGGAACTCCCTTGCCGTGGGGATCCTGTTAGCATCTTCCCCATCACGCGGCTTGATGATGTTGATGCCGTAGATGCTGTTTAGGATGTGTCTCGGGATCCGCTGACACAAGTACGGTGGGGTTAAGGAGAAAATGCTGAACTCTAGCAAGGGCCCAGTTTATCTAATTATTATGTGAGCTGATTCGACGATTAATAAGCCTCTGTACTGATGACGTAACACTTTGTTAATACGTGTGTACTTTCCTATGGTGCTCAGTGGACCGCAGACGTCACAGGGAGAAAAAGTGGACCCCAAATTTATCGAATGACCCACTGGTGAATAGTCTGAGTATCAACCATTAACCAACGTCTGATATATGAGAGCAATGCACATTTTATGTGACCCCGCGTCAGCCAATCGGAGTCAACTTTAGAAATTGTGACGTCGTTTCCATCAGAAACATGGACTAAGCTATGGATTGGTCAATTTTGGCTGACATGGTTTCTTTAATGTAACAATGGGTTACTGAAGACCCTATATAGAAGGCGCCAGCTGAATGGTCAGAATCTGGAGGTCAAGAGGCAGTCTTGTGTTGCATAATTTAACGCCAAATCTGCTCGCATATCACAGACCCTTGCTGTGCAAGGGGATATTTCATAGTCCACTGGCGCAGTCCTTCTGATTTGAGGTGTGCGATTGCACCCCCACCCCATTGCATGCCTAAAAGCTTCCCGAGAAGTGCGAATAATCGCATGCCTGAATCCCTCTGTACAGCACACCTCCGCATACATTTACGGCATTATTACACTTCTGTGAGCTTTTAAAATGGTTTTACTGTAAACCATGATGAATATTATTAAAAAACATACCAGATTGGTCAGTCCCTGTTTGGACCACAGAATCACAAACCTAGAAAAATCACACGCCTAGAAAAATCACACGCCTAAAAAAATCACACGCCTAGAAAAATCACACGCCTAAAAAAATCACACGCCTAGAAAAATCACACGCCTAGAAAAATCACACGCCTAGAAAAATCACACGCCTAGAAAAATCACACGCCTAGAAAAATCACACGCCTAGAAAAATCACACACCTAACATCACAAGCCTAGAAAAATCACACGCCTAGAAAAATCACACACCTAACATCACAAGCCTAGAAAAATCAAACGCCTAGAAAAATCAAACGCCTAGAAAAATCGCATGCCTAGAAACATCTAGGTGCATATTTCCACACACCTGTGATATTCAAATCAGAAGGACAACTGGTGAAGGGCAATATCCAACGTTGAAGTTCACAACAAATGCTGTCACATTTTGTACTTGACTCAATATGCCTCATGATGACATCACACTTTGTTTACGTGTGTGCTTTCCTATGGTGCTCAGTGGACCGTGGGCCCCCACTGGCTCCATAGGAAAGTGCACATGTAAACAAAGTGTGACACCATCAGTACAGAGGCTTAATAGGATACATACATAGGTGTTAACCCTCTCAAAAATCACCTTTTTCCACATTAGGCCAAAAAAAAAAAAGTCTCCGGTTTCTGGTATGCGCGCGCGTCGCCGTAGCCATGCGCGTCGGCAAAATGAAAAAGTTTTTTTTTCAATACAAAATGATGTCTCAAAACCGCCAAACTCACTGGTTTGACTGGAATCCTGCTGCTGCACAATTTTAACGTGTTTTTAGATGGGGGTTATGATCGAGAATAAGCTTTATGTGGCCTCTCTGGACTCCCATATATTTGCACTAAGTTTAGTCGGGCACCATTTGCAGTCATCAGCCGACATTTGAAGCCAAAAAAAAAAAAAACAGGTAAAAAAAAAAAAAAAAGCCGCGTCGCCGCACCACTTTTGGGGCAAGCTCCATACCAGAAACCGGAGACTTTTTTTTTGGCCTTAGGCAAAGACATCCAAAAATATGACAACACATCCTCAGCAGAGAAACTTGTGACCGAGCATAACATTTTCAGAATATCTGGAGAAGGCTTGATGTGATAAAGGATATGAGTGAGGTAGGAGGCATGAAGTCCCTGAGATGGTCGATGCACAGGACGCCATTGACGATCATCTCTGCCTTGGATGAGACCATGGATGGCATGACCAGACCGGGACAGTCACACAGGCACATGGTGGGCTCCACAAACAGCGTCTGGGGATGAGAACAACCATAATAGAGAAACTGAAATAATAAAGTCAACTTTATTAATGAAATACTTTAAATGAATAAATAGTTAAATGAAAATGACTTGAAGTTTGCATGGCGGTTGAGATAAAATTGAGGACATTTTAACACCATGTGGAAAGAAATCTCTTCAGGGAAGAAGTGTGGTTCTGAATAAGAACTCGACCAACCGGTTCTTTTCAGAACCACACTTTTTCCCAGAAGAGATTTCTTTCCACATGGTGTTACCCGAAAATCTCCTCTATTTTAGTTAATCAACAGCAAGATCAATTAAAAGTGTTCGAATTTTTCAATGTCTATGACTTTTGTATTCGTTTAATTATACTAAGTTAAATTAACTACCTGGAAATGTTTTGTTCTTCCTGGAGTTGCTGACACAGGAACTTTCTTCTGTTGCATGATGGCATTAATGGTGGAACTCTTACCGACATTGGGATAACCGACCTGCAAAATAAAAGCAAGAACCAAAATTTCAAAGATCAGGCATGTAGCATCATTTGCTTTCTGTATAATGATTTTGTTTAAATCTGAAACAACAGAAGAGCTCAAAATCGTAAAGGGTCCATTCGTGAGGTGACTTTTTCTTAGGAACAACTTTCAACTTTCAACTCCTCATACAAATTGTATGAAAAATATTTGACGCCCCCTTTTGGTTAATTTTTGTGGGGAGTGTGTGGCCTACTGGTTAGGGTTCGTGACTCATGATCAGAGGGTCCGGGGTTCGAATCCGGCCACTGGCCATATATTGTGTCCTTGGGCAAGCCACTTCACCCCACTTGCCCCTCTCCACCCAGGAGTATAAATGGGTACCGGCATTAGCTGGGGAATAACCTGCGATGGACTGGCATCCCATTCAGGGGGAGTAGAAATATTCTCAGTTGACTGGTGCCACTGAAACCTGGAGATAAACACCGGCCTGATGAGCCACATTGGCTCGCGACAGACTTTACTTTTTTACTTACTTTGGTTAATTTTACTGAAAAGTGCACTTCTCTTTTATCATTTCCAATTGTCCGTGCTTTTCCGGACAACTGAGGGCGCTGTTGCTGTGATGTCATTTCAGGAAAACATTGTTCAGGCTAGGGGTTTTCTGTTCAAATTGTGAACCCAAAATTGAGCCCATTGAAAAAATTTGTGACAAAAGTTTGCTCCTTGACTTACTGCCATGTACTGACACAATAATGAATCACCTAAGAAAAGAAAATTCACGACAGCTAACATGCTAAATATCTAAAATTTTTGGCAACTTTTGGTGCTGAAATAGCTGTAACATTCAGGTTTCTGCCTAAAATGACATTACAGTTTTGCTCATGAAGACGGAAATTCGCATTAGCATGAACATAAAAAAGGCACCAAAGTACCCTTAAAACCCTAACCCACCTCACTCCTCCAAAATCCTCCTGGCGGTTTTGGAGGATTCTAGAGGATTGAGGATGAATGGTGATTGAAGCACATGAGGATTCTGGAGGATTGAGGATGAATGGTGATTGAAGCACATGAGGCTTTTGGAGGATTGAGGATGAATGGTGAATGAAGCACAAGAGGATTTTGGAGGATTGAGGATGAATGCATTTTGAGGCAGGACTGCCTGATGATTTTGAAGGATTTGGCGTTGGTTATCCTTCATTTAGACACGAGTGCAAAGTTTTGGGATGAGGAGGATTTTGGAGGATTGAGGATGAATGCCTTTTGAGGCAGGACTGTCTGACAATTTTGAAAAATTTAGGCGGAGTTGCAAAATTTTGGAAAATTTTGGAGGATTGAGGATGGTTGTAAGCAACAAGGGCCTAGGGGGTTAGGGTTAATGGGGTTAACTGACATTGCATGGGCCCTTTATTACGATGCGTAACAACTAACCTATTTAAATTTCAGCTCAATGGACACTGTAGAATTTGAGAAACATATGCACTATGTTTTGGTCTCTTAAAGAGGTTGTGGAATGCTCGAAGACATTTCCGTCATTTTTCGGGTATATGTAGCCTAAGGTGTGATGAAATAAAAACGACTATTGTTTCTGTCATGAAATGAGTACAAAGGGTACTTTTGAGAGCTGTTTTTCAGGTCCTGTTTCGACCCGAACGTGCAATTTGTGTAAAAGTCGTCGTTGCGGGCAGCAAACAAAACACAGTAAATCGTGACGTAATAAACAGGACTCGTTTATGCTACTCTGCATGCAACGACGACTTTTACACAAAATTGCACGTTCGGGTCGAAACAGGCATGACAGGACTTGAAAAATAGCTCTCAAAAGTACCTTTTGTACTCATTTTATGACAGAAACAATAGTCGTTTTTATTTCATCACACCTTAGGCTACATATACCCGAAAAAATAACGGAAATGTCTTCGAGCATTCCACAACCTCTTTAAGTGGAGTCTTTTGCTAAACCCCTACTTTAAAACCACTTTGAATGACTGTTATTTCCACCATAACAATACCATTTCTAGGGAAAATAATTTCTCAGGGTATTACATACAATCCCTCACTTCACTTAAAACAAGGTTTTTCTCATTAAATCGGTACATGTACAATTCTGGATAATTACCAATATTCCTACTGTCTTTCAAATGACAATTTCTTCATTGTCTTCTCTCTCTACTTTTTTTTCAGGCATCCGGGCTACAGTGTCAGTGCGCTTAAAGGGAATGTACATCATTGGCTTTTGCCGTAATTTTCAGAAATGAACTATTTGAGGGGTTAGTATGATAGGTCAAATATTGTTACACTGACATGTTTGAAGTTTTGTGTTCGAAAATGCTAGAAAACCAAGAAAAACGAAAATGTTCAAGTAGTCTGGTTCCCTGACTTCACTAAGGATAAAATGGATCAATTTACAGATGCCGGAAAATTGTAACGTAAGGGAACCAGTGTAGCTGGCCTGCACCCGTTCATGAACATGTTGCCAATAGCAAACAAAATTTGGACTGAAAAAATTGTAAATTTGAAGCAGAAGTTGAAAAATAGTTAGGTGTTTCCAACGGTGATCGGCCGACCACTGTTGGAAATGTATACAAAAATACCAGTTTTTTAAAAATGACTTCACACCAGGAGCCATAATTTTACAGGATGCTTTTGACTGTCATTTACCAACATCAAGTAAGGTATTTCGTAAAAACTTGATAGTTTTATTTTTCGATGTTTGCAAATGTTGTACATTCCCTTTAACAGGAATTGTTTTTCTCCTTGGCAGAGTCGTGGTTTAAGGGACTTGTACCCTTAATATGGCTAACACAAAAAGTTTGGGAAACAATAATTTCAAATTTGAGACTTTTTTCTCACCATGCCAACGGTCGTGACCCCCTCTTGAACTTTGGGCCCCGTGTGAAGGTCGTAAAAGAACTGAATGAGCTCCTCTCCCGTCAGGAGCTTACTGTCATTCACCACTGGGCCACACCCGGCCTGGCCACGCCCCTCCCCATCTCTATGGCCACGCACATTTTCTGCATCCCTCTCCTGTCTCGTGCTGGAACCGTCTTCATTGGCTTGCGAACTATCTTCAGAGTCTGGTGCGGCGAATCGTACAGTTCTAGATGAAGAAGGGTCTGTAGTTTCGTGCATATTGCTATCGTCCGTTTGTGGGAGGTTCGCACTGGCTGTCTCTGAATACTTTGAGATCTCCGTTTCCGGCCCGTCGTGAGTTCTTTGGTCAATACTAGTATTGAAGCTGGTTGGTGCGATAGCTGTCTCTGAAGAGTTTGGAGAAACGTCTCGGTTTGATGGCGCATGGAGTTGGTCGTTCTGTTGGTCTGTCTGTGCAACACCGGCATCAGGTCCGAGACTTTGAGGTTCAGTCTTGTCCGAGTCGGCACTGTGCAATTTTTCACCAGTTGTGTCACTAGTATCCTGTGGTGTGCCATCTTTAGGAAAAAAAAATATACATAATGCTTCAGAATTGTGTTCAATAGTGAATGCCGTTTTTAAATTATGGGTAACTGTGTAATATTATACAAATAATGAATGTTTGTGAGGGCAATGGTAAGAATAATTTCATGAGGTGGCAGATGAAATGTTCCATTCCACGAGGCGAAGCCGAGTGGAATGGAACATTTCATCTGTCACCGAATGAAATTATTCTTTCCATTGCACGAACGTGAAACATTCATTATTTGTTTTATATAACACCTGAATAAATCCTTGTCATCTCATTGGTTGACTTTTAATAGCCATTTTATTCAGGTTAAAATCTGTTTAAAAGTTCGACAAGTTCATCATATTTAATTTATGCAAACTGTTCATACTCAATTTATCTCAATTTAAAACAGCGCCACCACCTATGTACATCAGATTCGAACCGGCCAACTGATCCCGTTAGCTCGGTGGTCGAGTGGTAAGACATCTGCACTAGAAAGCAGGAGGTCGTGGGTTCGAGTCACACCCGAGTGATTTTTTCCAACTTTCACTCGGGAGGTAACACACTGAGTATACAGTGTTTAAAAACGTCGGTGAAGGGCAAAACCTAATTTGAAGATTTCCTAACACACACCAGAACAGAAACCCGGCAAGAAACTAATTTATATCTTGGAGTATCTCTAAAAGTGTGACGTCTAGAGACTTCTGGATTCCTGCAGGTTGTAGCCCTTTACTATTCAGCTTTCGTCATTATATTCCCAGTTTCAGATACATTCCTGATCCGGTTTCAGATTGTGACCATTTTTCTTACAGAGACCTTACCAGCATTGAAGTCAAGTACTTTTTCCGAGTACCAAGTACTGCCGAGCACTTGTTACCGAGTACGAGTACTTCCGAGTACAAGTACACCATTTCAAGCTGAAAGTATCGATAAAATAAGGCCGTGGTAAGTCAAGCTATACTTTTTTTTTTTTTCGAGTACTGCTTTTCGAGTGCAGGTACTTTGATGATCGAGTACAATTTCGACATGCCGAGTACGAGTACTTTGCTGCCCGAGTACGAGCACTGTCATTTTGAGTACGAGTACTTTGACAGTCGAGTACGAGTACTCTAAAAAAAAAGTACTTGAGTACGAGTACTACAAGACTGGACATTACAAAGTTCGAGGGCAACTCTTACCTTGAATGCAAGACGCAGGTTGGGAGGAGACACCGTGATTCTCGTCATCTTCATCACCGTCGGTATCTTCTGGGTCCGATTCGGAGGACTGTTCCTCGTCATTCTCGACATCTTCGTTCTCTTCTGCGGCCTGGAAAATTGAAAACATTTCAAAATGATCGTCATGGATACAATTCATGGGCTACATGCACATGTCCCTTCAGCAGTTATAATTATTAGGCCAAAAAAAACAAATATTCGGTCTCTGGTCAGACCAAAGTTCTGGAATTGACGCGGCGACGCGGGTTTTTTTTTTTTTTTTTTTTTTTTTTTCCTTCAAGCTTGGATTGTACAGACAAGGTGGGGTACTATTTTGCTTTTTTGGTGTCCTCGTGTACATTTGTGTCCTCCATAATTTGCCTTGGTGCTTTCGATCATTTGCCTTGGTGCAATTTCCCATTCCTTGGTGCTCTTTGGTAAAAAAAAATTGAGGAGGTGCGGCAATAGAGGGCGCTGTTGGAGCTACCGCGGAACATTTTGGAAAAAAAAAAGATTGACTTGCATGATTAAAATCGACGCGCGTGCTGACCAGAGACTGACTTATTTTTTGTTTTGGCCTTATTATGGTTTATTTATCTGAATTAAAAGCAGCCCACAGGCTGAAAACATTCAAATTTACAAATGGTATTTTAGTTAGAAACCACTTAAAATACAATCAATACATCTTTAAATTGTAAATTGAAAGGTACAAATCATAACGGGAGAAATTATTCATTATCATTAACAGACTTCTAAAGACTTGCTAAGACAAGACATTGCTGATTAAAACTGGGGTGTAAAACTATTTAAAATGATCATTAAAAAAAGAGAGTGGATCACAGAGGCTACACTAATTATTGACAGATTACTAAAGACTTGCTAAGCTAGACAAGAAATTGCTGATTAAAACTGGAGTTCATAAAACTGGAGTTCATAAAGATATGAAACTTCTATCAATGAACAGCAGCCGATTCCACGAACAAGTGTGTAGCTGGCGCCATGCGTAAGACTTTGTCTTTGTGGATTGCCTTATACAGTTACTCGTAAGGCCATGTCCTAAGCACTTGTTTACGGCTGTACATAACACGCGCACCCACGCAAGCCACTGGCTAGCGGCTGCAGTCACTGCCCATAGACTAGTGCATTATTGCTGGCCGTAGCCACATGATTGGGATATAGCCTATAAATCATAGGGCTATATGTGACCTGTTCTGTCAAAATCAGACTTTTCTGGGCATAAGGTCAAAAATGAGATTTTCGCATATTGTTAAAATATGTTCTGATTCCTTTTAATAGGTGGTTTGATTTTTGAAACCGGTCATTCCTCCGCAAAGTTATGCTATTTTGAAGTTCATTGGGTCGAAAAGTAGAAAACAGCGAAAATGGACACAACTGTCACAAAACAGACATTTCTTTAACTGATATACCTTAACAAATTATCAAAAAAACTATAATTAGAGATCAAATTAGGGTTTCAAACTTTTATAGTACATTTTAGACATGCTCAGGATTACAAATATGCAAAAATTAGAAAATGGAAAAAAAATCACCCCCACAGCGTTTTTTGGCCCTATCTCAATTTCAACCTCTGCCCAGAAGCGTCTGCTTTTGACAAAACAGGTCACATATTAGATTACTAGAGCGCTGACTCATGTACAAAGTGCTGCCTGCTGGGCGCGTCCATGTTTGTGCACAACCTATGGAAAACTCGAAATTTTATATGGCTTCTGTACAGCTATTTGCATTGGTATTCTAAACAGGCCAGCGCGTTACCGAAGTTGATCCGCCCAAAACCGAAACGCGCAATCAGTAAATGAGCATTTAATTTTGCTCTGCGCAAACAGCGTAACGCGTGCACGTATCCGCTGCAGATGCTTTTCGCCGTGACGTTTTTGAACGTACGTTCTACTTGCGCGTTGCATTTAGAGTACACTTTCAAAATCCCAATCCATCTAATGTCATTATGTTCTACAGACACGCACATGAATTCAAAATGTCTGCGCCCAGGACGGCTCCAAAGCGTCTCCGCGCGCAAGAATGAGGAGTTAGCACTCTAGTAATTTAATATAGCTCTAGTATGGGCCTAATACAAAAACAAGCCAGACTCTAAACACTGTACTGACCTCTCGTTTGATCCTCTCTGTTTCAAGCACAGCAGACCAGAAGGCAACCTTCAGCCCCTGTTGGGAGAAATAGTCGGCCCACTGCTGTCTCTGCAGTGGCGTGAGTAGATCCGCCTTGCTGATCAAAACCATATTCTCCTTACCGTTGCCAACCTCTTTGACATACTTCTCCTGCAAAAAAAAACATATTCAAAACAAATTAATTTTTTTTTAAAAATAAAACATTGAGAAGTTTCATTTGCAGTTTTGTCATAAGAAATTTGACTTTTAAGTACCGGTATTTCGCTATTTTTTATATTTCTAAAATCTTGCTCATTTCAAGTTAATTTTTGTTGTCGTTCTGAATTACTTTGTGGGACCAGGGTTGAGTTGTGCTCACACAACATGTGCATTGGCCATTCAGGTGAGTCGGCAAAATCAGGACTTACAGCAGGTTTCGGCATTCGCGTAAGTCGTCACAAATTCTCGGGTCCTGAGAGTGCCGACTTAGCCAGAGTTTACTGTATTAACAAAACAAGCACAGACTTTTTACATTTTTAGAATAAAATTATCTTTCAATTTACCAAATCTTCACAGCGGAACAGCAGGGGGTTGCGAGCGTCCACTATCTGGACGATGATGTCACTGCGCTCAATGACGCGCCACAGCTGACGCCAAAATTCCAAGTTTCGCTCGAAGGGCGTCATGACGACGTGATCCTTCTCTTGCAACCTGCAACATTGGGAGTTTAAAAAGTCCAAAAACTTTAAAGGGAATATACAACATTTGCAAACATCGAAAAATAAAACTACCAAGTTTTTACGAACTACCTTACTAGGATGTTGGTAAATGACAGTCTCAAGCATCTTGTAAAAGTATGGCACCTGGTGTGAAGTCATTTTCATGAAAATGGTGTTTTTGTAAACATTTCCAACGGTGGTCGGCCGACCAGCGTTGGAAAAACCTAATTATTTTTCAACTACTGCTCCAAATTTACCATTTTTTCAGTCCAAATTTTGTTTGCTATTGGTTACATGTTCATGAACGGGTGCAGGCCAGCTAGACTGGTTCCCTTGCCTTACAAATTTCCATCATCTATAAATTGATCCATTTTATCTTTTGTGGAGTCAGGGAACCAGACTACCTGAACACTTTTGTGTTTTTTTGGTTTTGCCAACCTTTTAGAACACAGAACTTCAAAAATGTCAGTGTAACAATATTTGATCTATTAAAACTAACCTCTCAAATAGTTCATTTCTGAAAATTACAGCAAAAGCCAATGATGTATATTCCCTTTAATTTGAAGAGTTGTATCTCGAGTCAATCACAAGTCCGATATCACTTGTTAACCCGTTCACGTCGGATGCATGTTAACATGATCTGGCTGTTTTTATACACAGGTATGGCTGACAGGTTTAACCCTTTCATGCCCACACTGTTTATTGACTTGGCTCTCCCCAGGACCAAATTGTTTGCTCAGTCATGCGGAAATCACTAGAGCGTGAAAAAAATGAGCACGAGTCAAAAACTCACTTTTTTCAACCCAGATTTTCACTGCCAAGGAGTGATTAAAATCACAGGTGTTGTGTGTAACGTTTGTTCCTTGAACATTACTCTTTTATGTGATGTAAAAATGAAGTCCATACGTGCAAATATAAGAAAGTTATGCCTTTTTGTTCACCTGGTCCCAATTATCAAACTGCAAGCCATTTCACCACGTGACCAAATGGCACTCCATACCTCGAATTGTGCGTGGATACTTCTGAAGCACTGTTCTCATTTTTTTGTAATAGTAACACTATGAATAAACCACACCAATAGAAAGATCCGAAAACACTCTTTCAGCTGGTATATAGTTAATGTATGGGCGGCAAAACATATCAACATACCGCCTTTCTGAAAAGTAGTGAATATGTCTGTGTTGAGGGTGTTCTGTGTGTGGTTTCCTGGTCGACTAAAGTCGCCCATGGGAATCAGCAGGGGGGTTCTTCTTGTCGACAAAATTCGCCCATGGTAAGGAAAGGGTTAATAAATGTCAAATGTCGACTCTCCTCCGGATGACATCTTCGCACGCTAATCCCCCATTAGTTTTGTACACACACACACAAAGTGCGAGAAGTCTGTGGAGGCGGGCCGTGTGTTGAACCTGTAAAAAGGCTGCTGGGCACGGGCTGTTGTGGTACAATTGACGCTCCGTGGGCCCACCTCCGAGTGTTGAAAAATTTGAGATTGCGGTACGAAATATCATACAAATACTGTTCAAATGACTCTCGCAAATCAATGTATTTGGCTGTATATCAAAAGTTGGCAGCTACATTTTGCCTTTTTCGAAAATCTAAATTTTCGGGAAAAAAATAATCCCGGCGCGAACTGGTCAATAATACCAATTTTTTTCCGTTAAGAAAAAAGTGAACATCTGGCAAGTGCAAAAGTGGCCAATTCTTCAAGAGTGACTACTCACAATGCCAGCTGACGACGCCATTCCAGGAAGGATTCTCGCTCCCTTTGGGCAAGCTTTTCTTTGGTAGTGTTGGCATCCCACTTTGGTCTATAAAAAAAGAAACAACATCACTCAACATTTACACCAATTATTGGATCTGGAAAAAAGTCACAATTAAAAAAATATTCAAGCTGCCTTAAGAAAACAAAAAATTACTGAAGTTTTTGAAGTTTTGAAATTTTGGAGGGCAAAAATCCTTTAACATTCGTCAAAAGCCATTTGCAATCACGGGGTAGAGGAAAATCACCGTCTATCATGGCTATCCAAATGCTCAACAATGACAGGCTAATATTATACATAATACAAAATGGTAAACAGGGGCAGAAGTGCGAAATTACTTTTTTTTTGCTTTTTTTGCTTTTTTTTCTTCAAGCTTGGATTGTACAGACAAGGTGGGGTACTATTTTGCTTTTTTGGTGTCCTCATGTACATTGGTGTCCTCCATAATTTGCCTTGGTGCTCTCGATCATTTGCCTTGGTGCAATTTCCCATTCCTTGGTGCTCTTTGGTCAAAAAAATTGAGGAGGTGCGGCAACAGAGGGCACTGTTGGAGCTACCGTGCAACATTTTGGAAAAAAAAAAGATTGACTTGCAAGATTAAAATCGACGTGGCGCTGACCAGAGACCGACTTATTTTTTTTTTGGCCTTACGATGAGTTTCATGAAATCGGGTGCTGGTTAGCCACTGATGCTTCGGAAAACTGACCAATAAGAAAGAGCTCATTTGGCTCATCAATATGTATGAGATATAATAATGGATGCTGCCCACCGTCTGGGAATGCACAGGAGATTCTTGTTGAGTTCTTGAGCCTCACGGATTGCTTTGGTTTCCTCGGCTGACGGCAGACCAGAATCATCTGGGTCAACCACTCGGATGTTTTGCCTCTCTATCATAAAATTAAAAAAAATGAAAAATAAAACCGGGTTAGGATTATAAGAGATACTTTGGTTTAGTTCTCGACTTGCCAAATTAGTGATTTTTTTGGGGGGTGCAAAATTTGGAGACTGCCTCAATCCTCCAAAAATCAACCGTTATTTCTTGAATTTGTTCAGTGGAGGGATGACCACCGTCTCCAAATCCTTTCAAAATCTTCCGACTGAATCAACAAAGTCCAGTAGTGTGAATGGTATTCAGAAGCAGTGCAGATGATATCTGGTAGATTTTGACAGATACATGTAACATCTTCCAAAGACCTGTTCTGTCAAAAGCAGACGCTTCTGGGCGGAGGATGTAATTGAGATAGGGCCAAAAAACGCTGTGGGGGTGATTTTTTTCCATTTTCTAATTTTTGCATATTTGTAATCCTGAGCATGTCTAAAATATACTATAAAAGTTTGAAACCCTAATTTGATCTCTAATTAGGCCTATAGTAGTTTTGATGATTTGTTAAGGTATATCAGTTAAAGAAATGTCTGTTTTGTGACGTTCGTGTCCATTTTCTCTGTTTCCTACTTTTCGACCCAATGAACTTCAAAATAGCATAACTTTGCGCAGGAATGACCGGTTTCAAAAATTAAACCACCTATTAAAAGGAAACAGAACATATTTTAACAATATGTAAAAATCTCATTTTTGACCTTATGCCCAGAAAAGTCTGATTTTGACAGAACAGGTCACAAATGACACATGAATGTATCATATGGGCATATGGCCACAATACTCTCCAATAGTCCACAGCTTCCGGTTGACTTGGGTCGATTTTAGTTTTCATACATTTAAGAGGAGTAGAAAGTTGCACAGAATATGTTCCTAAAAAAAATGATCGCATGGACCCTTTAACCCCAACTCCCTAGGCCTTTTTGCTAGGATGTAGCCTCAATCCTGCAAAATCCTCCAACTGGCCTCATGGAAAAATAGCATATCTATAGCCTCAATCCTGCAAATTCCTCTGTTATTTCTTAGAATATGGTCTATCGAGGGGTGACCACTGCCTGAATCCTGCAAAATCCTCCGGCTACGACTGTCAATAGGCTGAGGCAGAGGCAGTGACATCCTGGAGCAGTGCGGAGGATGCCAAGTATAATCAAGGACTAAATTTATCCACGGCTGAGCATAAACAACACAAGGTCCGGCCCAAGACCTTGACACAGTGCGTACTCCAAAATCAGCAACGCACTTTCGCCATGTAACCTCAATCCTGCAAATTCCTCCAATTTTTCAAAAAGGATTTTGGAGGGAGGATTTAGGGCAGTTAGGGTTAAGTCAAGCCAAAGCTCTTTCAGATTGTCCACATTATTTTTAATTTTTAATGGCAACCAGGGGAAGTAAGTTTGCTTTGAAAACCTTTGTTGTGTTTTCGAGCTACATTTTGGAAGTCTGGAAGTTTAATAGGTGTTGAGTTTTAGTCGTACCTGCTGTGAACTCGGTGCCGGCTAGCTCAGCTGTTAAGAGGAAATCATCCAAGTGACTCTGCTCTGTGACGGAGTTCAGGTTCAGACGACCCCACTCATATCCATCGTTCAGGTCACTTGTATGTAACTACAAAATAATGCAACGGAAATATGAAACAAATGGGAGTGATATCGGTCATGCGAGTATATGTGAGCTAGGGCAACAGCCACATCGAGGGTCTTTGGCCAAATCTGATGCAAGCTCAGTTAGGGACCGTGACCATTCAGCCCCGGTATGAAAAGGGCCCCCCGGTAAGCTCGTCCCCTCCCAAGAAGTCATTTCACACCGTCCTAGCTACCGGCCCAGGAGCTGGTCCGGTTGCTAATCAGGAACTCCTCTATCCTGGGGTCTATTGTTTGCAAGTATTGACACATGTAATATATCCCAGAAGAAACCCGCTTGTGGTTTTTATGTCTCAGCGTGAAACAACAGAACAATTTCATTGGCACAGATCAAAACCCCTGCCATGGGGTTTCGCGCACAATGGGACCATAAATTACCAAGGCGTTTGGAAGGATTTTATCTTTAATCCGGTAAGTCTGCTATTGTTCTGCTCTGGAGGTTCTCTGAAGGGCAATAAATTGATGCGCCTGACTGACTTCAAAACTTCTGGTCAGACAGGACCATGTACCGGACGAGACTGGGCTGAAGACCGGACTGGCTCTGGATTGGACGAGGTACCAGGGGGCCCTTTTCATACCAGGGCTGAATGGTCATGCCACGGTCCCTTAAGGAGCGATTATCACAACCCATGACGTCATGCAGCATTACCCCTAGTACTATGGGGCTCTAGTTGAGCCCCAAAGGTGGGCATATCAACGCGAACATACATTTTACTATATCCCATAGAGCTATATTAAATTACTAGAGTGCTAACTCATCATTCTGCGCGCGGAGACGCTTTGATTGAAGCCGTCCTGGGCGTGGATCCTGAATAGAGATCAGTGCACGTGGCCCCCAGACGATAAATGCATGGTACAGGAAACAGCCGTCGCATTTGCAACTCGCGCCCTCGCGCTCGCCAACAGCCAGCGCAGCCAGCAAAAACGAGTAGTTGACAGCGATCGCTCTCTGTGCCTGTTAATCGACCGCCATTAATTGTACACAATTTTTTTTGTGCACAAACCAATTGCGGTCCTGGCCATGCCTAAAAGGTTGTCAGGTTAGCGGTTATTCCTCCTGTTTTCACTGCAATTGTAGGCTGAATCTTCATCGTGGATCTTTTTTTTACTTCAAGGACCTGTGTAATGGTTATTCCAGGCAAGTTTGGGGTGAGTTGCAGTTGCAATTAGTGTGTAACGGGGACAAAATTGAACATTTTCCAAAATTTTTTGCCTATACTATAAGTTACGAGAAAAACTCGCTCCAGCCCTAGATGACAACCCAATGATAAAACTCAGGGCTGGGTAACTCCAGCTAGGAGTCAGACATGTCAGAGGGACAATTTCGCCAGGTTCGGAAATACACAACAGCGTGGCGTAGTTTACAAACAAGCCACGTGCACGGGTCTACCCAGAAGTGATAGATGAGACATCATAGAATACAACCATATGTAAGAAAATGCCTGTAATTTTTATGAAAACATCCTCAGTAGTGCGCGTACCACGGTGTGTGGCCAGAGGTTCAGCGCAGCATACCGTGGCCACACTAGTGGGGCTATTCCAGAGTAGGCCTAGTTAGGTGTTAGTCCGAGTAACTTGGACCCAACTTATCGCCTTTTTAAAAATTTGGACATGGTCTGGCGATAGTAGGGTCCAAGCCCATTCCGAGACCTAGACAACACAGTCACTGACAGTCCCAAAAACCAACATTTTCCAACAAAAAACATCAGATTTCACCTTCAAAACGGCCTCCAAATTACTAGGTATGCCACCTGAGGTACAAGTAGACATCGATAATTAAGATAGTTGTACTGAAGTTTACTTACGATCCGGAAAAAAAGTGAAATTTTCCGTTCATTTCGGAGAGCTCCCCTCGCGATCTTGAACACGTTAAATTTGCGATCGTGTTTAAAGTTTGAACGACGCGATTTCTTCTACATGCCCAGCGTACATTCGATGGTCCCCGTATCCCGTATGCGATTCCCTTACCGAGCGCGCGCGATGCATCGATTATGATAATGATCACGTTTGTAAACACATACATGTGCATTTCGAACTGTAAAAGGGAATCGGGAACCAGCTTGAACTGGTACCCGCTATAAAAGCTGCGCTAGTTCCCGACTCCCTATTATCGTTTGAAATGCACATGTGTTTACAAACGTGATCCAGTCTACTCATTATCATAATCGATGCATCGCGCGCGCTCGGTAACGGAATCGCACTCGGGATACGGGGACCATCGAATGTACGCTGGGCATGTAGAAGAAATCGCGTCGTTCAAACTTTAAACACGATCGCAAATTTAACGTGTTCAAGATCGCGAGGGGAGCTCTCCGAAATGAACGGAAAATTTCACTTTTTTTCCGGATCGTAAGTTAACTTCAGTACAACCATCTTAATTATCGATGTCTACTTGTACCTCAGGTGGCATATCTAGTAATTTGGAGGCCGTTTTGAAGGTGAAATCTGATGTTTTTTGTTGGAAAATGTTGGTTTTTGGGACTGTCAGTGACTGTGTTGTCTAGGTCTCGGAATGGGCTTGGACCCTACTATCGCCAGACCATGTCCAAATTTTTAAAAAGGCGATAAGTTGGGTCCAAGTTACTCGGACTAGTTAGGTGTCCATTTTCGCCACAACTCACCCAACTATTATCTGCATCTCTGCGCTGATTGGTAGCCTTGAATCGATCCTTTATTATGCTCTTACCCAAAACGCTTTGATTTTTCTTCTTTCCCATATTTATGATGACTCAAAAATGGACAAATTCTCGATTCGACTTAAATCACGTAACTACTATTACACATGTGTTACTAAACCAGTTGTGCAACACAATCGCGGAAATTTCAACCGGTTCCCTATCATTCCATTGACATATTTTTGTACAAAGCGTGCTTACCAGTGCCGGCCATGCGTTTAGTGCTCTCTTGAGGGCGCTATTAATTAAAGAAAGCAAGAGTAAAGATGAATAATATGAGTTTTTTTTTTAAAGAGAGAAGTAATTCTTCCATTCCAAAAGTTTATGCACAAAATTAATGTCCAACGAATCATTGCAGATAGCTTGCAATGTTCATTTGAAAATCGAGATATATACACAGTAGGGTTTTGTGAAATGATAAAGTTTTTCCTTTCCCCCTTTCTGATGTTCCACTATGCGAACGCAATGTGTCAAAAACCTGAGAATCTGGTTTTGTACGATGAACATCATACATGCGGCGCCCGTACGTGTACATGGTACCGTACGTCGTACTTGCGTTCATGTACTTCAACGTCGTGAATTATTGTCCAATCACAAAATGGCAACAAGGCTACGACTATTGCGCAGTTTTTATCGACAAATTCATCGAACATTTCGCGTTCAAAAAACCAAGTTTTAAAATAATTTTAACTTTTTAATTAATTGATACGCAGAAGATGTTCTTTATCGCTTTTTCTACCATATAAAGCTATTTTTAATGTTCAAAAGCCTATACAAAATTTGTTGACGCTCGCTGACGACCGTTGAGGCTTGTTGAGGCTTGTTGACGCTTGTTGACGCACTTTAGTAGGACCGCGTTTTGGCCACCCTTCAGAACTGGAACATGTTTCTGACGTCACAGCCGTGACCTCAAGCATGTTTCCTGTGCAACGCGAAAACGACTGACCGGAAAATTGTTCATGACGTCATGTTACTGCCTACGTGACTGCACACAACCCCCCAAAAATCACGCGGCGACCATAACATTCAAAGCAAAAGTGGGAGGTTTTTTTATAGCCTTTCCCTAAAGTTCTAAAAAGGAGTAGGCCTGATATTCTGTATCAACTTTCGTACCAATTGAAGGTAAAAACCCACTATTTAAACCCCATTTTTCCGCCATCTTGAAACATAAGGATGCAACCTTGCAAATACATTCCCGGACCCTAGTGCTAAATGCCCATACTTCAATTTCTTTTTAAGAATACTCAGAACTCTCACAGGTATTCAAGCTGCACAGAAAAATGATGATCAACATGTCATCTTTCGTTTTCTTTTCAATTTTTGGTGGGTTGACTATTGACTTTTCGAGATATTCTCACCCAAAGAAGACGACCCCTATTTTCCCCAAAGCGAAAAAGTAGCCATCTTGAAAAACGATCCCTCCGTCCACAACATGGCAAAATAGCGCCACTTTCGAGCCCAATAGCATCCAAAATGCTCAGAATTGGAAGCATTAAGTCCAGGCCAGAGGTTCATTACCATATCTCTTCAATTCCCCAATTTTATGGCTCTCAAAACTCTCTACAATACAGAATATTTTGAGGGTATAACTTTTATTCATGAGCTCGGCGGAGGGATTTAGGACAATTCACCGGTGTGCACCCTATAAGTGAACCGACCGGTTCAATTTTGGTCGAAACAATATGACGTCATTTCAGTGTAACCGAAGCGCAAAAACGGCCGCGAACCAGAAACATGTTTACGGTCACATCGCCAAAACGTGCCCAAGATGGTCCAGACCATAGGTCCAGACCACTATTTATGTGGCGCGCCCTCAATTGAAAGAATATTGGTGCGGATGCTCAGTGCACTATTGAACAAAAATAACAACTCAGTTTCCGATAAATAACTCAAGAAACACAAGATGTATTCAACTAAAATTTCGTGCAATCAATTTCCAGGGTGTATAACAGAGGTGTATTGAATATCATGAGAAACAGTCCAACGATAAAAATAATATGATCGTAACAATGTAGGGTTTTACAGGCGAAAAATACACATTGATTTTCATTCGGATTGCATTTGTCGCGCTTAAAACACTGTATTGTTACGGTCAATATTGCTTCATTGTTTGACGGTTTCTTATGAAATTAAATCTCGTAATGTTAAACATAATGACAAATCACTAGACGGAAATTCAAATTTAAAACATCTTGTAATTCTGGAGTTGTTGCCTCCCAAACGAGTTTGGTGGTGGATAATTTTCGAGACCACTATTTATGTGACGCGCCCTCTATTGAAAGAATAATGGTGTGGATGCTGCACTATTGCACAAAAATAACAACTACGTTTCCGATCAATAACTCAAGAAAAACAAGATGTATTCAAAAGAAATTTCGTGCAATTAATTTCCAGGATGTGTAACAGAGGTGTATTGAATATCATGAGACACAGTCCAAAGATAAAAATAATATGATCGTAACAATGTAGTGTTTTACACGCGAAAAATACACATTGATTTTCATTGGGATTGCATTTGTCGCGCTTAAAACACTGTATTGTTACGGTCAATGTAGCTTCATTGTTTGACGGTTTCTTATGAAATTAAATCTCGTAATGTTAAACATAATGACAAATCACTACACAAAAAATCAATTTAAAACATCTTGTATTTCTGGAGTTGTTGTCCCCCAAACGAGTTTGGTGGTGGATAATTATCGAGACCACCATTTTATGCAATGCGCCCTCCGGATGCTGCACTATTGAACAAAAAAACAAACAACTCAGTTTCCGATCAATAACTCAAGAAACACAAGATGTATTAAATTGATATTTCGTGCAATTAATTTCCAGGATGTGTAACAGAGGTGTATTGAATATCATGAGAAACAGTCAAACGATAAAAATAATATGATCGTAACATGTAGTGTTTTACGCGCGAAAAATACACATTGATTTTCATTCGGATTGCATTTGTCGCGCTTAAAATACAATATTGTTACGGTCAATAATGCTTCATTGTTTGACGGTTTCTTATGAAATTAAATCTCGTGATGTTAAACATAATGACAAATCACTACACGAAAATTCAATTTAAAACATATTGTATTTCTGGAGTTGTTGTCCCCCAAACGAGTTTGGTGGTGGAAAATTATCGAGACCACTATTTATGTGGCGCCCCCTCTATTGAAAGTATATTGGTGCGGATACTGCACTATTGAACAAAAATAACAACTCAGTTTCCGATCAAAGACTCAAGAAACACAAAATGTATTTAACTGAAATTTCGTGCAATCGATTTCCAGGAGTGTATTGAATATCACGAGACACAGGCCAACGATAAAAATAATATGATCGTAACAATGTAGTGTTTTACAGGCGAAAAATGCACATTGATTTTCATTCGGATTGTATTTGTCGTGCTTAAAACCCTGTATTGTTATGGTCAATATTGCTTCATTGTTTGACGGTTTCTTATGAAATTAAACCTCGTAATGTTAAACATAATGACAAATCACTAGACGAAAATTCAATTTAAAACATCTTGTATTTCTGGAGTTGTTGCCCCCAAACGAGTTTGGTGGTGGATAATTATCGAGACCATTATTTATGCGGCGCGCCCTCCGAAAGCTGCACATTGAACAAAAATAACAACTCAGTTTCCGATCAATAACTCAAGAAAAACAAGATGTATTCAACTGAACTTTCGTGCAATTAATCTCCAGGATGTGTAACAGAGATGTATTGAATATCATGAGAAACAGTCCAACGATAACAATAATATGATCGTAATAATGTAGGGTTTTACACGCGAAAAGTACACATTGATTTTCATTCGGATTGCATGTAATGCGCTTAAAACACTATATTGTTACGGTAAATATTGCTTCATTGTTTCACGGTTTCTTATGAAATTGAATTTCGTAATGTAAAACATAATAACAAATCACTAGACGAAAATTCAATTTAAAACATTTTGTAGTTCTGGAGTTGTTGTCCCCCAAACGAGTTTGGTGGTGGATAATAATCGAGACCATTATTTATGCGGCGCGCCCTCCGGAAGCTGCACATAACAACTCAGTTTCCGATCCGATCAATAACTCAAGAAATACAAGATGTATTCAACTGAAATTTCGTGCAATTAATCTCCAGGATGTGTAACAGAGATGTATTGAATATCATGAGAAACAGTCCAACGATAAAAATAATATGATCGTAACAATGTAGTGTTTTTCAGGCGAAACATACATATTGATTTTCATTCGGATTGCATTTGTCGCGCTTAAAGGGAAAATACAACATTTGCAAATATCGAAAAATAAAACTACCAAGTTTTTACGAAAAACCTTACTAGTATGTTGGTTAATGACAGTCTAAAGCATCCTGTCAAACTATGGTACCTGGTGTGAAGACATTTTCAAGAAAATGGTATTTTTGTATACATTTCCAACGGTGGTCGGCCGACCACCGTTGGAAAAACCTTTCTATTTTTCAACTACTGCTCCAAATTTATCATTTGTTTCAGTCCAAATTGTGTTTGCTATTGATTATATGTTCATGAACGGGTGCAGGCCAGCTAGATTGGTTCCTTTACCTTACAATTTCTGGCATCTACAAATTGATCCATTTCATCTTTAGTGGAGTCAGGGAACCAGACTACTTGAACATTTTTGTTTTTCTTGGTTTTTTCCAGCATTTTTGGACACAACACTTCAAACATGTCAGTGTAACAATATTTTGATCTATTATACTAACCCCTCAACTAGTTCATTTCTGAAAATTACAGCAAAAGCCAATGATGTACATTCCCTTTAAAGGGTGCAGACCAGCAAAGCGGTCCGAAATTGCATACGCCAGGCAAATCACGATTTGCATGCCCTCAAATTCTTCAGTTCTTGAGCATATTGTGGACCATACACTTGAGGGTTCGTAAACAATAAGGGTGGAAGCCGTGCACAGGAACCTGAGCTTGTATTTCTGTGCAATTTGCTTTTGCAGGCCTTTACACAGTTTTAAAAGTGGTTTTAAATGGCGCGTTTCACTTCTAAAATTGCGCGCAGTTTTCAGAATTAACGAATCAGGAGCGTCCTGCACTTATTTTGAAAGTTGAAATTGATTGCTTGAATTGACATGGGCCGACCTTGGGGGAGGGGGCCAACCGGGGGGGGGGGGGGGGGGGG